CACCCGTTCCTTCCCACCAGCAGCGACGAGCAGGCAGCCACCTCAGGAACCGCCCCCCCCTCCCACCCTACTGCTGACCTGCAGAGGGGTCACCTCTTTCCTCCGCGTGCCTACGGCCGGCTGTCTCCCATGACCCCTTTCTACTACGGCCAATGCCACCAGCTCCAGGCTGCAACTCCACAGCCCGCCTGACCGTGCGCTATGACCCCAGCCCCCAGGTGCCGGCCACCGCCGCCTCCTGCCCTCCTGGGTCTGAAGGCCAGCTGCTCCAAAGCCACGCCAGCTTAGCCCCACGCTCTCTTGACTCGTGTCCTGGAAATCCCTCCTTCCTCTCTGGCTCCTGCGGCCACCCGCTGGCCTCGCCCGTAATGCTCTTGACATCTGTTTCTGGTCATGCTAAGTTTCTGCCTGTGTTTCTCCTTTCCTCCAGATGCACACGTGGCAGTGTGTGGCTACTGTGACGGGCCTGCCAAGTGGAGGAGGAGAGGGGAGAGGAGCGGGGCTGCAGGGCTTCCCCCCACCCCCGGCCAAGGGCTGTTGCTTCTCCCTTCGCCCCGCACCTCTCCGGGGATGCTCAGGGAAGTCACTCATCCAACTCATGCCATCAGAGCACGGCTGTGTGCCAGGCACTGCTAATATCCAGATACACCGTCACACGCGGTCCTCTGCTGAAACCAAGCCAAGACTCACAGCGGGGAAATGACAAGCCCGGGTCATACTATAGGAAAAGTGATGCTGTGTGCCCTGAGCCAGGAGCTGGTCTAGGGAAAGGGTGCGCAGGAGTCAGAGCCCGCAGCTGGCTCCAGATTCCATAGGCTCTGGCGTCTGAGTACTCACCGCTCGCTCGGGCTTCCCCAGCCCTGTCACGTGCTCTTAGTATTCTCTGGCGCAACTGCTGCTAATTTCATGTTTTCTGCCCCACTGCCACTTCTCCATGGGTCCTGATTTGTGGTTTCTAAAAATAGCCATGCCTCTGTCTGCAGCCCTGGATTCCCTGAAGTCCTCAGAGGGGTAAGAGAGAAGGGCTTTTGCATCCAATATTACAGATAAGGACAATATGGGGGCCCCAGAAGGCTAAACAACTTACCCAGCACCCTCCCTCCCGTCCTCCAGCCAAACAAGCGACTCTCCTGGGCAGAGCTGGCACAGAAGCCCGCCTCCTGGCACCCCGGCCTGCTGGCTTCCCACTGTCTAAGGAAAGCCTTGCGGGAGCAACACCCTGGTAGACCCTTTATCCAAGCTGGACTGCCCACCTGGCGGCCCTCCTCTCTCCTCTCTGCTGTTGAATGTCACCAACTTCGAAGTCCACTGGAGACATGCCTCCTCCTCCAGGATGACGTCTTCATGATTCCCCCAGCTTCTGGGCGTTCCATGTCCTCCCCTGGACCACCATACAGGCCCCCTCCCTGCCTCCAGCGTCACCCTCTGCAGTCTGTGCTCCTCCTGGCCACAGAGTGATCTGCCTCTTAAAAGTGCCCCAGCACCTAAGAGATCAACCCTAGACTTGGCCTGACATTCCATTCCATCCTTTCCCTGTCTCAAACCCCATCCTGCTCTCTCTGCCTCCCTCCCAGACATTTATCTAACCTACTGGCCTCTCCCACTGCCCAGAGCATAGACCACACTGGGCCACCTGCAATCCTCTCCTCCCATCGGCTTCTTTCCCTGAGCCAAGTGTCTTTCAAACTCCTATTCATCCTCCAAGGCCTTTCCCAGATGGCTCCTCCACTAAGAAGCCTTCCCAGATTACCACATCAGAATTCTCTGCTCCACGGCCCACACTCCCGTGTGGCAGAAGAGCTCCTGCGCAGAGCTTCTTCCCAGGAAGACCGAACACTTCCAGACACAACCTAACGTAGCCGGTGAAATGGCTGCAGCCCACCCATCCAGACTGCAGGTCAAGCTAAATCCCTGCATCAGCTCTGCCCGATTTTAACTCAGGTTCCCATCTCATCACCCTTTCCCCCATCGATCTTCCCTGTATTTGCCCCCGGCCACTCAACAAAGCAATGGCAACATGGGGGTGAGGTTGCCCTGCCCGGGGCACACTCCTTGTCAAGGGTCCTTCATTTCCCATGCCGCGGCTCCTCTTGACCACCCTCTCCTTCCCCTTCCTCATGGCCTAATGTTTCAGGCAGAAAACATCATTTTCAAAATATGTAACGGAAAGGGCTTGCCCAGAGGTGGTTACACGGGCATTCAACCAGCTTGCAGAAGTCACCAGGACTGAGCATGGTGGACCTCCCGGTCTCAGTTCCCTGAACTAACGTGGCCTTGTGATCTGCCCACCTTGGCTTCCCAAAGTCCTGGGATTACAGGCATGAGCCACTGCGTGTGTCCCTTTTTATTTATTTATTTATTTATTTATTTATTTATATATTTTTGAGACCCAGAGTCTTGCTCGGTCACCAGGCTGGAGTGCAGTGGCCCTATCTCTGCTCACTGCAACCTCCAGCCTCCCAGGTTCAAGCGATTCTCGTGCCTCAGCCTCCCAAGTAGCTGGGACTACAGGCACGCGCCACCACGCTCAGCTAATTTTTGTATTTTTAGTAGAGACGGGGTTTCACCACGTTGGCCAGGATGGTCTCGATCTCCTGACCTCCTGATCTGCCCGCCTCAGCCTCCCAAAGTGCTGGGATTACAGGTGTAAGCCACTGCCCTTGGCCTCGGAGGTCACTTTAAATAGATTTATGTGAGTAGCCTCCAGGCTGGCCTAGAAAGTCCAAACTTGACTGCATATTAGAAAGCCAGACCTGTCAAGCTGTTCCACCATCCAGTGGATTCGTGTTTTCCCGGAGAGAAGATCCGGCAGTTATCCTAATAATTAGACACAAAACACGAGACGGGGTCCCCGGGGCACGAGAGCGGGCTTCCGAGGGCCTCACTGGAATGTACGTGGCACAGGCTCTCAGCTCTGCGCCACACAGTAGGCACTCAGTAGATGCTGAAAGTGAGCGCGGCACTCACGGGGCAACCTGGCATCCTTACGTCCACCGCACAGGGTAGATGACCATCATCCCCATTTCACAGACAGGAAGCCGAGGTGCAGAGATGTGGGGGCTTGCCCTAGGTCACGGCCAGAGAGCGAAACGGCAGACTCCGTTCGGGTTCCACTAACTCCAAGGTGCACGGGTTGTGTGAGCCGGGGGCTGGTTTCTTTGTGGGCAGAGGGAGCGGAGCAGAAAGAACCAGTCTGAGTTGCCAAGAGGAGACAGCGTTGTTTAATCATGCTGGACGGAAGGGCAGGGCATGCTCGGGGGGAGTCGATAGCATCAGTCTTCCTGGCACTGGTCGGGCCCTGTTTCTGTCATCCAGCTGTGGAGCGACAGCTCCCTTGGCTGTGAGCACCAAAGACCACCCCCCACCCCGGCACCTCGGTCCCAGAGTCCGCATGAGCACCAATGGGCAGAGGCCGCCTCCCTCTAGGGAGAAGAGCAGGCCACCTGGGTTTGGAAGGCTAGGGGGCCACTGGGCCACCCCACCCTGAGAGAAGAAACAGAAGGCCCGAGGTCCCTCCTCTGCCTCAGCCTCTCCCAGTGAACAGAACATAGTCTGCATCAGCTCCCCAGACCTGCTGAAGGCTCCAAAGCCTGGGGCTTCCGCCCTGGCCCTGCGCCTGCAGGTGTCTGGAGAGGCAGCACCAGGCCGGGGGAGGGCTCTGAGGTGAGCAGCTGTCCACTGGGGCCTTAGCACCTTGATAAAGCCTGCAGAGTCGGGGCACTGGGCCAGTGGGAGGGGAAGGAGGGGCAGACAGCACCTGGGGACAGACATCAGCATCTGAGGGCAGCTGGAGGTCCTGGGGAAACTGAGGCTCGGATGCCTTTGGTGGAAGGAGGTGAGCAAGGCCCTGGCAGATCCCTGGGAGGAGCAGGAAAGGGATCTCAGTGAGGAGGGGAGGTGTCCTCACAGGCTGCCATATCAGCTGTGGGGAGAGCTATGGGTGTGGGCTCCATTCCTCGGGGGCCCCTTCGCCCCCAAAAGCCCCCACACTCCTGAGTCCTCTACTCACAGCACCCTTGACCTGGACAAGGCCCCCTGGGGTTTGCTTTAACGATGGACATTGGGCAGGTGGATGAGAAGCGGAGAGGGGATACCTGCCCCTGCCACCGGGACCCCGCCCTGCCTGCCTTGGGGAGCGGTACGTTATGGAGGACCAGCAGCGCCTGAACACCCAGAACACAGACCCGTGTGAGCTGTGGGTCTGCTTCAAAACCTGCGTACACATCTCTCCCTGCCTGGCTGGACCGGCCGGTCACTGAGGCAGGGGCAGGGCCTGTGTCTGACTGCCTCACCCTTCCCGGGACCCAGCACAGAGTGAGCACTCAGTGTTTGATGAGTGAATAAATGAATGGTGGCTGTGGCAGTGCAGGTGTGAGCAAGAGAAGAGGGCGAAGGGGCAAAGAGAACACAGCACAGGGAGCCCTGGAGGGAGGAGAGGGTTTAAGAATGTTGGGAGAGGCCAGGCGCAGTGGCTCACGCCTGTAATTCCAGCACTTTGGGAGGCCGAGGCGGTTGGATCACCTGAGGTCAGGAGTTCGAGACCAGCCTGGCCAACAAGGTAGAATCCCATCTCTACTAAAAACACAAAAATTATCTTGGCGTGTTAGCGGGCGCCTGTAATCCCAGCTACTAGGGAGGCTGAGGCAGGAGAATCACTTGAACCCAGGAGGTGGAAGTTGAAGTGAACCCAGATCACACCACTGCACTCGAGCCTGGGCAACAGAGTGAGACCCTGTCTCCAAAAAAAAAAAAAAAAAAAAAAAAAAAAAAAAAAAAAAATTGGGGAATATTCTAGAATGTGTGGAGGATTCTAGAATGTTCAGAAAGTACTAGAATATTGAGAAAGTTTTAGAACCTGGTTCCTCCAGTGCGGTTCATAGACTGATAAATAGCATCAGCATCACCCAGGAATGTGTTAGCAACGCAGAATCCTGGACCCACTCAGACCTACTGAGTCAGAATCCGCATTGAACACGAACCCCGGGTGATTTACGTGCACGTCCAAGTTTGAGAAGTGCTGGGCTACGAGGTTGGAAAAGTTCTAGAATATTTAGGTTAGAAAGTTTCTTAAAATAGGTCCAAGAGAGAAGAGAGGAGCAGAAATAGTCTGGGAGGGACGGCGGCAGCCAAGAAAGCAGCCGGGTCTCCAGAACGCCAGGTCCCCGGGGACCTCCCTGGCCTTCCCGCTTCACCGAGACGCAAACCGAGCCTGGCAGGGGGCGGGGCCGGCCCCTGAGCGCTCCGGCCGGGAGGGTGGCCCAGACGGAGGCCCTCAGTCGTCCCCGGCCTTGATGAGGTGGCCGCTGAAGGTGATGTAGGTGTCGAAGTTGTTGCTGTAGATGGCATTGTCGCGCTGGCTCTTGAAGAGCCGCACCCAGACGCGGTCCCCGGCGGCCAGGTCCAGCATCACGCTCTGGCTCTGCATGATGCTGCGGGCGTTGGGCTGCGCGTACAGGACCACCACCTCCTGCTCGTTGTGCATGATGTGCACGTACGTGTCCTTGTAGTTCCAGCTGTGCACGTTGAGGCTGAAGAAATAGATGCCGCGCAGGGGAGCGGCGAAGTGGCCGGCACCCATGTCGAAGCACCCGTCGAGGTTCACGAAGACCTTCTCGAAGAGCAGCGTCTTGAAGTCCCCGCCGCTGTGCAGAGCTTCCTTGCGGCCCACCGAGAAGGCGAAGAAGTGCTTCTGGCAAGCGGGGCCGGGGCTGCCCATCTCCCCCTTGTCGCCCTTGCTGCCCTGCGGGCCAGGCTCTCCTTGAGGACCATCCATGCCCCTAGACCCTGGGATACCCTTTGGGCCTGGGTCCCCTTTGTCACCTGTGGGGATAAGAAGGGGACAGTTCAGGGTGGACATCTGAGCCTGCTCCAGGGAGGTACCCACACTCATCTGTGAAGGCTCTGCCCCTGTCCTGGCCCAGAGAAGAATCCAGGATTTATTTATCACCTACTATATGCCAGGCATTGCCATCCCAAATGCCTACCTAAAGAAAACATGGCCCAATGCGGTGGCTTATGCCTGTAATCCCAGCACTTTGGGAGGCCAAGGTGGGTAGATCATGAGGTCAAGAGATTGAGACCATCCTGGCTAACATGGTGAAACCCCGTATCTACTAAAAATAAAAAAATAAAAAATAAAAATAGCTGGGTGTGGTGGCGTGCAGCTGTAGTCCCAGCTACTCGGGAAGCTGAGGCAGAAAAATCACTTGAACCTGAGAGGCGGCGGTTGCAGTGAGACGAGATTGTGCCACTGTACTCCAGCCTGGAGACAAAGCAAGACTCCGTTTCAAAAACAGAAAAGAAAACATCATGACCATCTTCACTTCACAGAGAGGTTAAGTGACTCCCCCAGGGCCACACAGTGCAGGAACAGAAGAGGCAGGACTTAAAATGTGTTCTATCCTCAGGGCAACTTGGCGTCCCCGCACCCAGCAGGGAGGGTCCGACTGTTGTCTCTGGGAGGCCAGGCCCAGGCCCCCACCCCAGGCCCACGGCGCCACAGTCCAGGCTGGCGGGGATGCGGGGCGTGCTGGAATGCACTTTGGGTTTCTTACCCAGGGAAGAAACCAAGAAAAATACCTTCGCCCACCTGGAGGAAAAGCCCAGGTTAGGAGCCAGGAAGCCCTTGGTTGGCCGTCCTGCCCCATGTGACCTGGGGCACTCCACGGCTGGGGTCTATGTTTTACAGAGGATGATGTCCATCTCACAGGGGTGGTTGTGACCTCTCAATGAAACGTCCTATGGGAAAGCATTGTGCAACCTCTGCAAATAAGGGGCCGAAGAGTTCGCCCAGCATGGCTGGCCCATCCCGACCTGCTCTGACTGGCAGCACGTGCAATGGCCCCCAGGCAGGCGCGGCCCTTAGTCCAGGTTGCTTTCAATGTAAGAGAAGCTGGTGGCCGCCCACGCCTGCAGGGACCCGACCTCGCACAGCTCCCTGCCACCTGTCACAGGGCCTGGAGTCACACCAGCAATCACACCCTTGCATGGGCTAGAAGGCCCTGTGTTTTCCACAGGTGGGGGACAGGGCAGAAAGGAGGGCACAGTCCCTTGGGGCAGAAGCCCAGAGAGGGGAGCAGGGCAAGTCCACAGCTCTGCAGAGGTCGGGAGAACCGCCCCTCACCTGCACAGCCCCAGACCCCGTGCAGAATGCTGGACAGCTCAGCCCGAGAGAGGGAAGGAGTGGAGGTGGCTGGGACGAGGGGGCTATCTTCTTTGACTAATAAGGTGGCAGGCTCAGGGCCAGGGAGAGAGACCAGCCTGACCTACTGGGCAAGGGAGCCAGAGTTGAGGCTGCGACCGAGGACTCCCAAAGCCAGCCCAGGGTCCCTCAGCCACAGCAGCCAACCCAGCTCCCAGCAGGCTGCTGAGCCGGGACCAGAAGCAGTGACCCCGTCTTTGGGGAGGGCAGTGAGGAGGGGCCATCAGCAGCCGGGCACCTCTCCAACCCCATGCAGAGGGCTAAGCCGGCCCTGGGGAAGCTGGGTGGGGGCGGGGGGTGAGGAAGAGCAATGTCCTCTCCATGAAATCAGTGGACACGCCACAGGACCACTGGCCGTGCAATGGTGTGGCCCCGTGGACAACTCAGGAACAAATCAATCCTGGCTCCGTCCATGACAGCTGCGTGTCCCCAGGGAGACGGAGTTCCCCATCCTCGAAGTGGGAGGAATAGGAAAATACTGACCTCACGGGCTGCCGTGGGCCGAGACGGAAGCTACGGGTGTTAAGGTCTGGCCACAGCCCTCAGCCACCACAGTCCCTGTGAGGGAAGCGAGTCCTCCGTGTCTGATTGAGAGAGCGGGAGCCAGCCCTACCTGGATGGCGGCCCTGGGAGCCCCACAGGGCTGCGGGCTCCGACCCTTGGCCCCTGCTGGCTCTTCTCCACCCGACATTAGAGGGATCCATTTGAAACCTGAGGGGCACCAAGTCTCTCTTCCACTCAAACCTGCCCCTGTTCCCACACCACTCAGTGGAGCCCAGGTCCCTACGTGGCTGGTGGTGACAGGTGCCCGTGTGATCTGAGCCTGCTGCATCTCGAAGCCTGCCCAGGGCCTCTGCACCAGCCGTGTGCTTTGCCAGGATGTGCCTCTCCCGCCTCTTACGAGCCTGTGCTCCGTGGGTCCTTCACTGACCACCCGTTTAATATGCAGCCTGCACCCCAGACCTGCACTCCTGAGGCCCCTTTTCCTTTCCCAGAACACTGATCACCATCGAACATTCCACTCCGCTAACTTGGCTGACGTGTCCCTTGCTCACGGCCTGTCTCCCCACCGAGAATGGGCGCGCAGGTGGGAGGCATCTTGGTCTGGACTGGTTTCCGCCCTGCCTTCTACTCCCTCTGCCTCAGCTCCCCGGCCCTCCGTGCCCACTACCAGGTCCCACAGGAGGGCACTCACCCTTCAGGATGGTAATGTTAATGTAAGGCCTGACCTCAGGCAGGGCGTGTGGGAGGACGGAGGGAGAGGCTGCGGACACAGGGTCAGGCGCCAGGGGGTCCTCAGGGTCACAGCATCGTCGGCAGCCACTGGTCACATCTCTGTCCAAGCTGAGCTCCACCGCAGGGACCTCACACATCAGGAGAAAGAGCAGGAGCACTGCCGAGAGGGAACCCAGGGTGGCTGTCCCCATGGTGACCTGGAACAAGGAAGGAGGGACAGGAACTGAATTTCACTCAACATCTACTATGTGCAGAGATGCCCGGGTGGGCGGGTGCCGCCTCCCCCAGCCAGAGGGATCCTGACCTAACGCAGGAAGGAAGGTTATTGTCCCCATTTATCAGGCAAGAAGACTAAGACCTCCGCAGATCAGCAAGCTCCCTGAGACCAGGAACGGACTGTGGCAGAGCAGGGCCTGGACCCTGAGTCTCCCGGCACCCAGTCCACGGAGGCTTCTGCCCCACACAGGTCTGGGAAGAAGCCCCTCTGAAGACAGTCACAGCTGACAGCAGAAAGGGATCCCAGGAGGCGTTTGCCGGGGCAGGTGAGAGGACGCTCCAGCTGCCCATGGCTGGCAACCCAGGAGACCGTCCAATGCTCTCCCGCCCTTGCACCTCCCTCTGGCATTGTCTTGCCACAGACTCCACTATCGCTAGCAAACACGTGCCTCCCGGCCCCCAGCAGGAGGACAGAGGTTAGTGGGCATGGGAGACAAACACGAAGGGTTCTGCAGGCTTTTCTCGGAGGGGGGGACAGGTGGCCGGGCCCATGCTTTGACGTGGGAACACCATAGTCCTGTCAAAAGAGATAGGAGTTCGTTTATCCTAGCAGACAGAGAGCGACGTCCACGAGAGCATGCGGGGTGTGTGTGCTGACGGTGTCATTGCGTCACTGAGCAGTCAGGAGAAGGCATACAGGGGCCTGACTGCAGGCCATTGCTAGCCTTTAGAGTGCCTTTGTGCAGTGAGGAAGGTGCCCTCTGGACAAATTAGAAATGATGAGTCCCCTTTGGAGGGAAGCGATGCTGAGGGTGTGCGGCTTGGCAAGGGCTGGTGCTAGCCCACTGCCCAGTTCAGCACCTGTGTGCAGTTAACAACCTGTGCAACCCAACCTTAGCCAGAAGCCCTGCAGGGAAGGCTCTGGAGAGTTCATTCATTGGGGCCAGGCACGGTGGCTCACGAGTGTAATCCCAGCACTTTGGGAGGCTAAGACAGGCAGATCACGAGGTCAGGAGTCCAAGACCAGCTTGGCCAATATGGTGAAACCCTGTCTTTACTAAAACTACAACAACAACAAAAAATCATCCAGGCGTGGTGGTGCATTCCTGCAGTCCCAACTACTCTGAAGGCTGAGGCGGGAGAATTGCCTGAACCTGGGAGGCGGAGGATGCAGTGAGCTGAGATTGCCGCACGGCACTCCAGCCTGGGCGACAGAGCAAGACAGTCAGTCTCAAAATAAAAAAATCATTGGAAGTTGGTTGTGTCAATCTTTGTAGACCTCCAATCAGGTGCCATGGTGGTAGATGGGAATTAAGAGGTAGGACCAGGAGGTCTGAAAAATTCTAAAGGATCAGAAAAGTGCAAGCGTTGCTAAGGTTCTGTCTCTGGCCTCGGACAGGAAAGGGTCCAGGGTTCCAGGAGAGCGGCAAGAAATAGCCTGGACACCAGGCGCTAGAGACAGGCCTGGGTTCGGTGGGCAGGAAGCCGGGCAAAGACCTTTGAGGTGGTGCAGCTTCTGGGGGCTGGTGCCGAGTTATCGCAGGATCAGAAACTCTGCTTTGAAATCAGACTGGTTTTTACACTTCTGGCGTTTCTTTGTTTATTTCCTTTTTGCTCTCCTTTAACATTTAGTAGAATTCAAAAATATTTTTCTGTGGTTAATACATGTAGAGAAGGTACAATTATTACTTTGTAAAATGCCACCTGATCTCAGCTGAGCACCAGTGAGGGCAGAGTTTTAAAGGGACAGGATGGCCAGGTGCAGCGAGCTTTCCTGCAATCCCAGCACTTTGGAAGGCCGAGGCAAGAGGATCACTTGAGTGCCGGAGTTCGAGACCAGTCTGGGCAACATAGTGGGAGCCTGTCTCTATTTTTCAAAAATTAAAATTAAAAATAAATAAAGAGGCAGGACCCCTGCCCCACCCCCAGAGCTGGGTGGTAGCAGCAGGAGAAGGGGGCTGGGCAGGAAGTCTCCAGAGCCACCTCCCTCTTCCTCGAGGTGACCCTTCCCAAGCTCCTCTCTGCCCACCCTGGTTGGGTTCCTGGTTCTGCTGACTAAGGAAGTCAAATCCTCAGAGATCAACATCCTCCCAGTCTGAAACTACCATCCTCTACTTTTGCTTATAAATGACAAATCCCAGTGGCTTTGAGAAGAGCGACATTTCCTTCCTTTTCCCAGCCATAGATATAACCTCATGAGAAAAGCTGAGGTCTTCGAGTCAGATCTGAGACCCAGAACAGTTTGCAAGCTGTGTGATCTAGGGCTAGCGGCTGAACCTCTCTGGGCTTCCTGCTCCTTGACACTTACAAGGAGATGACACCACCATCTCCTTCCCAGGAAGGACTTCAATGCAGGGAAAGTGCTGCCTTGTAAAAGACTTTAAAAAAAAAAAAAAAAAAAAAAAAAAAAAAAAAAAAAGAAAAGAAAAGAAAAAGAAAAAAAAAAAGCGTGCTCCCATCGCTTCCCTGTGCCTGCATGGGATGGGATGGAGAACTTCTCCCAGAGGACTGGCCTGGTTTGGGAGCATTTCTGATTCCTATTGGCCCCAGCCAGATGGGAGTCAAAGGCTGTGAGACACAGAACCGTGGCCTGGGAGCAGGAATCAGGAAGCTGTTAACGAGGAAGAATAACCACAGCAAGGATCACGAACTGGCTCTGGGGGAGGGTGCCAGGCAGGGACCCAGTGTGGGGACCAAGCCACAGGGAGGACTTTTGGGGTCCTTACCGCTTCCACTGGGGAGCTGGGACCTCTCTGGGGAGAGAACGGCAAGGCAACTTTTCTCAGTCCAGGCAGGCTGTGCAGAGCTGAGTTTGTGTATGCCCGGGCAGTGCTGTGCCCGGGCAGGGGCAGGCAAAAGCCGGGAGCAGCGGAGTGCAGCCCTCAGCCAGAGGCAGGAGGAAATGTGGGGGAGAGCCTGGAGAGGCTGTCCCAGTCAGAGGGAGAGAGCAGGGCCCCAGATGCTTCCGAGAAGCAAGGAGGGAAGAGAGGAATTCTAGGCTCTGACCCCAGCCCCCAAGCTAAGGAGCCTCTGGTCACTCACCCTGTGTCCTGTGGCCTCCCCGGGCGACTCACGGACCCTGAGCCACTGCATGGCCTCTGACTCCTTGGCCCATGTCTGCAATACTAACTTGTTGCTGGCCCAGACCCCCAGGCTCAGCAGAGGAGGGAGAGAGGACGGGATGGAGGGAGAGAGGGTGGAGGGAGGGCGGGCGGAGGGAGCCGGCAGAGCCGCTTCCCACTTCCCCTCCTCCCTCCTCCCTCCCCTCAGCCTCTGGGTTCTGGGAGATAAAGGGAGACAGGGATTTCCTTTGCTTAACTCTTTGGTGATCCAGTGGGGTCTTGTTTTGTTCAAAGGCCTACCAAGTCAGAGCAGGAAGGAGTCTGAGGCCCCCTGATGATTGGGACACGGACATAGGGATGGGGCACAAGAGCCCCGAGGTTGCTCAGGAAGGGGGCAAGAAGCCCTGAATCCAGCCTGAGCTAAAGTGTTCAACTGCTCCGAGTCACAGAGGCAGGGTGGGTACCAGAAAAGGTGCAGGTGTTGGCCCTCCAGCCACAGGCTAGAACCCTGGCCCTGCCACCGGCGATGGGGCCAGACACATCGTCTCTGTGTTCCAGAACCGCAGTCTTCAGCTCCCTTTGTGCCAGACACATGGGAGGGCATCACCCAGGTTTGTTGGGTGAATGAGCAGGCTGATCTCCTCAGGTATCATGCAGGTGTTAGAAAGGAGTCCTGAGCCAGCCCCCAAGAGAGGATTCTTAGATCTTGCGCCAGAAGGAATGTGAGGCGCGCCCACAGAACCAAAGTGAAAGCAAGCGTATTAGAGAAGCAAAGAAACAAAGGAATGGCTGCTGCACAGGCAGAGCACCCCAGCACTCCAGCTGGCTATTCCTATGGCTATTTCTTGATGTATGCTAAACAAAGGGTGGATTATTCATGAGTTTTCCGGGAAAGGGGTGGGGATTTCCTGAAGCTGAGCGTTCCTCCCCCTTTTAGACCATACAGGGTGATTTCCAGACGTTGCCACGGTATTTGTAACTGTCAAGGTGCTGGTGGAAGTGTCTTTTAGCATGCTGATGCATTATAATTAACATACGATGAGCAGTAAGGATGACCAGAGGTCACTGTCATTACCGTCTTAGAAGTGGCAGGTTGTTTACCTCATCCTGTTTATCAGCAGGGTGTTTCTGACCTCTATCTTGTGATACCAGTCCTGCCAACTTCCTAGGGCGTCCTGTGACTAAAAATGCCTAACCTCCCGGGAATGCAGCCCAGTAGGTCTCAGCCTCGTTTTACCCAGCCCACATTTAAGATGGAGTTACCCTGTTCCTTCCCTACTCTCTTTTACAAGGGAATCCTTAATCTAAAGGGTTGTGAGAGACAAACATCCATCGTCTGTAACTTCTTCAGGCTGAACAGGGGGGATGACATTCCTAACTATTAGAGTCTCCTGCGTTCATGCAGAGCAGAGTTCAGTAAGAAAGTGTTGGGATGTTCAGAATTGTTCATTAAGTCAGAGTCCTGGCAAAAGGTGACATCTGGAAGATTAATATGTGTTCAATTTAAGAAAGCTTTGAGTAAGCTTATCGTGCATTCTTACACAAAGAGTATGACAGCCATATATTCCACAACAGCAAAGTCAAATAAGTAAAATTATCCCAAGTAAACTAAATAAGAAGGCTTTCCATGACCTGGGCAATGGTTGGAAATGAGCTGATATGAATGGCTAGCTGATTCCAATCCATGCGCAGAACTAGATACTGATCCAGATTTTTCTGTTACCCATCCCTCTTGTTTCTGATGAGAAGCAGTCAAGAGATGACTGTTTGAGTCACAGAAATAAGCAAGGTCAGTCTAAATTGCAGAAAAAAACTCAAAACGACAAGTAAGACTAGAATCTAATGACAGCTGTGCTATATTTTTTGAAACATCACTTTTCTCTCTCCAGCCTCCTATTTTTTATTAAAAAACAAATCATGGTAGGAACAATTTCTTTGCAAAATAAGCTTTAGTCTTATTATACTTGCTTCGTTCTTTGCATAAGGTACAGCAAGTACAATTATTTGCCATAGAGGCTCCTTTTAAAACTGGCTGTGACGGAGCTTGGTTTCATAAAGCATCTTAGATCAGATGTTTTAAAGCCTTGAGCCCAGCCACGGATTGAGCTATGCCTGCAAGTACCTGTATGTGTTACATTAATTCCTCTCCTCTTGAGGTCCCAAGATAACTTGGGGCTCCTGGGCATGTCCGAAAGTGACATTCTTTACTTACTACAGGTCAGGAACCATGTGCAGGACTTCATACACAAGGTATTAGACCAGTTTTTCCAAGGGGCTTTTATTGGCTCTATTAGTCCACTTCATTCCTTAAAGCAGTCTGTTCATATTTGAAAGTATGTCATTCCAGTCAAACCCTTGTGAAACAGTTTCTCCAATTGTGTTCTGTTACAAAAAGAAAGAAAGAGAGAGAGAGAGAGAGAGAGAGACAGAGAGAGAGAGAGAGAAAGAAAGGAAAGAAAAAGAAAGAGAGAGAGAGAGAAGAAAAACAGATTCTTACTGAACTAATGCAAATAACAATATTGCCATAAGTAAAAACACTCACAAATAGTTTCCAAATTCTGGAGAAATCAGGTAGAGCGAAAAAAAATATATTCTGAATTTTGTTTTTGGACAAAAACCTTGTTTTATACTCCTTGCGGGAGCATACTTTATTCAACTGTTAAAAGCTGAAAATAGCTCAAAAAGAGGGGGTTTCTTGACTGTGAAAAACAAAACAGAAAGATCAACGTTTCAAGCAAAAAGTCCTAAAAGATTACTTCAGTCTTTTATTACTTCAGTCTATGCAATTAATTCCTGTTTTGTCTGATAGATATGTGTTCGTTTTCCCAGAGTCTTGGATGTTGTTTTCTTTCTCCCTGCATTTAAAAGTACTCACCAAAGTCCTACAGCTGATTATAAATCCCCTTTCTAAGAGGAAAAAAAAAAAAGATAATGAAAAGACAATTGTCTATGGATGACAGAAAGGCTTAGGGCAGCCACGGTTAAAGAAATTAATATCACTGAGTGGGAAATCTGGATACCTCTGTGGCACACAATAACAACATAACAATTACAATGATTTTAATAATGTACATTAAGTCACGTCAGAATTATAGGAGTTTCCCATAATTTTGGAACACATAACAATAACATAGTTATATACAAATACAGCCCAAAGAAAGCCCAACACAATTTCATCCTTGACAATGTTTCCTGTATTATTTTAATGCACCAAATAAGCCAAATACGTCATCTTTGGACTTAAGGGGGCCTAATATCTAAAGGACTAATCAGGTTAGAAAAAGACATAACTTAGAACTTGATTTTGAAAAGTTTGTCAAATATCAAAAATTTAAAACATTTGGTACTATAAAATAGCATCCCAGGTCACCATAAGTCATTTATTTGGCCAAAACAACTCAAATATATTTCTAAAGGCAAAAACCTTTACTCACTGTTTTTCTTCTCTTTCTTTTTTTGGGAAGAAAGTCTTCAGGAATACTTAGCTTCCCCACCTCCCCCTGCAAAAAAAAAAAAAAAAAACTGTATCTTTTCTTTCCCTTCTTTTTTCTATAGCTTATTCAAAAGGCAAACAAAAATCTTTAATTATTTTTCAGCAACACATGAAAATCTTGTTCAAGAGAGAAATTTTGCCTTTGCATTTGTGTATTATTCATGTCAAACTCAATTCATAAAGCCTTATGGACAACTCTATCCAATTTTACTGTTTGACCCTGAAGTAAGATTCTCATAAACCTTTTATAGCTCTTTACAATTTTCTTGTTAAAGAGTATACCAGTGCTCTAAGAAAACCCCATTATACTTTTATTCCATATTAAATTTATGAAAAAACTGAATAATATCCCTTTAACGTTAGCCAATAGATTCACACAGAATTTCTTTCACAAGATTAGTCTTTCACAAACCTTCCACAACTTGCTCAAACCTTCAGCTTTATCCTACCTAACTTAAAAACAATCCTTTAGCCCTCTACAGTGAGGGAAACAAATCCACATTCTCATGCTTTCTTCTAATCTTCTTACATTCTACTTTCCTTACACACCTTGCATATATAACTGCTTGTCCAGCAGTCTCAATTACATATGTTACAATGTTAACTCTTAGCAACTTTTACTTTTGGTGAAAAACCTGGTAAGTAAGCCATTTTAATTATGTTCCAAGTGTGGAGCCTAGGACACCAGGCAGAAGGGCAGATAAAGTCTGACTCTTTCTAGCATAGCTGGGGGCATGGCTAAGTTGACAAGTCCCAGGTCTTAACTAGAATCTAATGACCCCAAAACAGGTAAGCTGGACAATTTTCAAAAGTCAATGATGCAGTTTATGACCTTGAAGCATTTAGCACACCTAATATCCGACCTGCCTAATTTAGACCACATGTCTAAATTTTGAAGATATTTTAATTTTATCAGTAATCTTTAAAACTGTCTTTATTTCCCAAAGATTATTAAAGTCATGTGAACCAAAAGGTGTTACTGTTTCTATTTTTTCTGACAAAATATTTGATTTAAACACTTATTATTTGTCAGAGCTTTTTCATATATCAACATCACACACACAACACATACAAATACACAGACAGAAGATCCAGTAGTTGTCAGATTTTTCATTTGCCAGTTTTTAAGTTTCTTCATTCGATTACTGACGTCAGGGTGGAGCCCTTCAAGGAACAGGGCCAGGAAACCCTGCAGTTTCTAATGAGTAGGCACAGCTGAAGGCAAAACAGATGCCCAAAATTAAAGGGTCCCATTTTTATATTGGATCCTGGATCCCAAAGAGAGGCAATCAGCCCATCCCGCATGGGAGTCTTATCTCTCAATGGAGGCTGGGGATGCTTCCATACCTTCTAGGTGGCCAAGAGCATGCTTTTCCGATCCAAATGTGCAAGCCAAGTATCCCCCGACAACTGCCATTAGCCATCCCTAAAACTGTATTTCCCACCTAGTTATTACATAACAAGGCTACAAGCTCTCTTACAATGCAAACTAATTTCTGATATCCCCAAAAGTCAAAACCGTCAGATAACACAATGCAAAACAGAACAGAGCCTTAGATTCTGAGAGGGGTCTATCTGCTTTCAGTTCCTAGGGGTCCATGAGGAAAATAGAGGTGTCTTCCAAAATGGGGTCTGTGGCACCTCCTGTTTTTCCCAAGGAGTCCCAGGCTATTAAAATTTATCGGCCAGGCGCGGTGGCTCAAGCCTGTAATCCCAGCACTTTGGGAGGCCGACGTGGGTGGATCACAAGGTCAAGAGATCGAGATCATCCTGGTCAACATGGTGAAACCCCGTCTGTACTAAAAATACTAAAAATTAGCTGGGCATGGCAGCGCATGCCTGTAATCCCAGCTACTCAGGAGGCTGAGACAGGAGAATTGCTTGAACCCAGGAGGCGGAGGTTGCGGTGAGCTGAGATCGCGCCATTGCACTCCAGCCTAGGTAACAAGAGCGAAACTCCAACTCAAAAAAAAAAAAAAAAATTTATCTTAGGTCCTCTCAGATAGGGCATCAAGAGTGGCGAGAAACAAAATGGAGAAAATAATTCAGTTGACTGAAAAGAAAAACTTTTTTCAGAAAAATAAGATCCAAGAAGAGAAAAAAAAAAAAAAAAAAAAAAAAAACCAAAACCATAAAAGGCCTTTTCAATGTAGGTATAGCTTGGATATCCATTTTTAATTAAGCTGACTTTTAACCAAATCTTGTTACCAGACTCCAGCCAGGACAAACAGCCAATATTTCTGGCTTTTGGACTTCACAAACAGTAGCCTCCCAGGTGAAACCAGTAAGCTTTAACTACGGTTATGACTTAACCCAGGTATATGAGGTATTTTCAAAGAGGTGATAAGCAGTTTTTACCAGATCTAGACTCGCCAAAGGTAGGTCAGAGAAAGAAAATTCAAATGAGAAGTCAGACGCTGTTTATGGAGGGGAAGAGAATCAATAAATGGCAAAGGTCACACAGATATTAAACCAGAAAGGACTCACTCCCTAAGGCAAGAACTGAACCTGGGTCCCCACTGCGAAAAGACAAAGCCTTAGCTTCTGGGCCACAGAACTGGATGGCTTTTGTCGTTTTTCCTCGAAGGAGACGAGAGAAGCCAATTTCAAACTTGCAAAGGCTGTCCACTGCTCAGGATAATTTTTACGGCTATCACGTGAACCTCCAGCTTCCTGTCCTCTGGATGATGGAGACTAAGAGAAAGAACTCCCAAGGACATAAAACAAACCAGACAGAAACCTCATGTAGTTTTTATTTCAGGGACCTGCCACAAAGTTTGTAACTGACCAGTTTCCTGGGCCAACTTGAGTAACAGGCTTACGGGGGTCCCAGGCCCTATCCTACAGTACCTCTTTTTAGGACAGATTGACACAGAAAGATAAATTCACAGCACAAAGTACAACAGATTCTCTAAAGCTTAAGACCGCCCCCCACAAATCCTTTTTCTTTCTTTATGTATTTGTTTATTTTTGAGACAGAGTCTTGCTCTGTAGCCCAGACTGGAGTGCAGTGGTGCGATCTTGGCTCACTGCGACCTCCCGGGTTCCAGTTCAAGCAATTCTCCTGCCTCAGCCTCCCAAGTACCTGGGATTACATGCCTAGCTAATTTTTCTATTTTTAGTAGAGACAGGGTTTCACCATTTTGGTCAGGCTGTTCTTGAACTCATGACGTCGTGATCCACCTGCCCCCGCCTCTCAACGTGCTGGGATTATAGGTGTGAGCCACCGTGCCTGGCCACCTTTTTCTTATTCCTCAAATTCCTTGCAGGAGAGACAAACAGTGATTTTGTATCATTTATTCAACCAGTTTGCACAAAGAGAGGGAGGCCAGAAGCCTGACTGGTAAGAAATTCTTACCCTTTACCAGCACGCCAGGCTTCTGGGTTCCCTTTCTCTGTGTGGCTTTGATGGCCCTGCTTGCTGTGCCATTGCTATGGGGGCCAAGCACATTACAAAAGAAAATCGTCTTTTCCATTTCATGGAACCACAAAAGCCTCTGAATTTTGTAAGGTGCCGCCCAACTGCATGGGAAACCCAATTAACATTAATATTTCCCATTCCGGGTCACCAGCCGCCCCAGTCAGTGCCCAACGTCAACCTGGCAAGGCTCAAACTTGCCCCCAGCGGCCCTTGTCATCTTCGATCCTCTCTAAGTGGGGTGGAATGGCCTCCAACCAGGAATTTCAACATGTGGTCTCTGGGCAAGATGGAAGAGCGGACAGTCACCCTGAGCGACAGAAAGGGTAGGAAAGAGAAAGGAGAGGGAAAGAAAAGCATTGCCTCCCAGAAGGTGGAGAAGGCCCAGAGCTAAGGGAGGCTGGAGGAAGAACCACGCATTCCATCGACACTGGATGGGAGGTTCAGGTGGTCGCTTGCCAGCAGCAAAGTTATCTTTTCCAGCAATCCCATCAGCTCTGAAGTTGCCCCCTTTAGGGAGAAGAAAGCTCCCCATGTCCCATGATCCTGTACATGCCTAATCCTCTGTCCCACAGCTGTCGGCAAACAGTGCAAGGCAGATTATTCCAAAGACAATAGGGCTTTCATTTCTCCTCACCAAGGCACTTTATCAAGGGGGACCTCTAGCCCCCTAAATCTTAGGCAAGCCTCCAACCTTCTGAAGTTGGGCCTCTAACCCAATTTCTGACAACCACCCGTGCCCTTTACTAAGAGGAGCCCTTCACCCCTATTTCTTAGGAGGGACCCTAAACCCAATCCATACTTGACGCAGGATGAAACACCTCACTGCTTACCCAAGGTCGGACCCTCGATGCTGTAGTCTGGTTCCTCTGCGTCGGCGGTTTCTCTGGTATCGTCCCTTCGTGGTTCAGCAGAAAAATGATACTAGAAAGGGGTTCTGATCCAGACCCCAAAAGAGGGTTCCTGGACTCTCACAAGAAAGAATTTGGGGTGAGTCCACAGAGCAAGGAAAGCGAGTTTATTAGAGAAGTAAAGAAACAAAAGAATGGCCACTCCATAGGCAGAGCACCCCTGAGGGCTGCTGGTTGGCTATTTTTATGGTTACTTCTTGATTATATGCTACACCAAGGGGGGGGAGTATTAATGTTTTCCAAGAAAGGGCCTTTCCCCAGAACTGAGACCTCTTCGCCCTTTTAGGCCGTATAACGTGATTTCTGGACGTTGCCCTGGCATTTGTCAACTGTCATGGTGCCGGTGGGAGTGTTATAATTAGTGTACAATGAGCAAGGAGAACGCCCAGAGGTGACTTTCATCACCACCTTGGATTTGCTGGGTTTTGGCAGGCTTGTTAACCACATCCTGTTTACCCGCAGGGCATTTAGGACCTGTACCTTGTGAAACCAGTCCTGCTGACCTCCTAGCTCATCCTAAAAATGACTAAAATGAGGAAAAATGCCTAACCTCCTGGGAGTGCAGCCCAGCAGGTCTCAGCCTCATTTCACTCAGCCCCTAGTCAAGATGGAGTCGCTCTGGTTCTAACGCCTCTGACACAGGGCCAGGGCAGCAGCCAAGTCGCTTCCCCATGCCCCAGCCCCCGCTACCAAAGCCGTCTGCCCCTAACTGCAATCCTGCCAGTTACTAACTCATCCTGGTCTTCTAGAGCTATTCCCCTGTGGCAATGACCCCCAAGAAGTTCATAGGAGGGTAGCCTGTGTGCCTCTGGGTCTGCACAGGGGCCTGCCTCAGTTTCCTTTTTGTGAGGCTGAAGTTGGGCAAAGACTCTCTGCCCTGGCTTCCTGGGGCCCAGGACTCCTGTATAAAGACTGTCGCAAGCATCCCTTGCCCTTCCCCAAGGGATCTGGTGGGTTCTGACTGGCTTCTTTACTGCATCTTCCTATTCTACATTTGTTGGGGACTTCTGCCTGAACCAGGTCTCATCTCTCTAGGAGCTTTTGGCCCCCAAAGGGTGTTTATATCCATTACTTCAACTAGTCCTAGGGAGCTGGAGTCAGGCTGCTAAAGTGACTTGTCCGAGATCACATAACTGGTGGAGAGGAGCAAAGCCCCCCTACAGATCAGAAGACTCACCAACCTGATGGAGTTCCCTCCGGGCTTGCGCATGGGCGTGGAACGAAGCTCACAGATCAGGGCCATCCCCAGGAGAAGGAAAGTGCAGGAGTGCAAGGACCCCATGGGGAGAGGGACATATTTAAATCTAGGGCTTTGGGTGCTAAATCCCAGTCCCCGCTCACAGCTGGGCAAAACGTGGAGAGGATGGAATAGCCTCTGGGCTGTGTGTCCTCGACCAGGACTCATCCTTGGGCCTCCAATTTCCAATGTATTTGGGGGATAATCAAACAGAAGAATATGAAGCCTGGAGAGATCCTCAGAGATGATCTCGTCTGATTCTTTCATCTGACCAGCAGGGACACTGTGGCCCAGGGAGGATTTCTCTTTGGCCCAAAGGTCAAGCGGCACACTGGAGTCCAAGCTGGGATGACAGCCAGACCCTCCTAACCTCCAGCCTTGTGGTGCTGCCCCTCCCAAACGAACTTGGAATGCCCCAGGCCATCCATTCAGGGGTGCAAAGGGGCCCCGAGGAAAGCAGACTGAAGGACTGTGGCCGCTGGGAACACCCAAAGGCCTGCACTGACCCTGCCCTCGACGTGGCCCTGCCTCAGGCAGCATTCCCAGGGCGCAGAGCCAGGGCTGCAGACACAGGGAGCCAAGGGAGCCTCCCTCCCTGCAGCCTCTAAGGAAAAAGGGTTGAGTCGGCAGCACTGGAGAAAGAGACAGCTCCTGGCTGGCTCCAAGCCTTGGGGCTTAGAAAACTGACCTTCTGAGGAAAGAGGGATGGGGAGAAAGGTAGATGGGACTTGGGGAGAAACAGGCTAGGGACACAGGAATGGTTTTGTCAAGGGCCAACTGTGTGCCTGGCAGTGTATCCCATGCTGCCCTCAACAGCTCCCCAGCAGGGATGAGCTGCTTACCCCACTGCACAGGTGAGGAGGCTGAGGTCTGGAAAGGCAGGCAACTCACCAGGTTCCAGGGCCACCTCATTTGGCTCCCAGGGCATGCAATGCCCCAGAGAAGGGCTTCCTGTTCCTCTAGGTGCAGGGCAGCTGGCTGGAGTCAGAGCAGGCAAGAGAACAGAACTCCAGAATATTACACTTCGGTATTTTCCCTCCCACTTGCTTTCACCGTGCCTGAAAATTCTTCCATTCATGCGTCATCCGTTGGTGTCCCAGCCTTTCTGATGATCTCCTCAGCTGGTCAGGTGGCCTGGAAACAGAGCTGCAGCCCTGGGGCAGGAAAACCTGGATGATGACTCAGTTCCCCTCCCAGATGTATGACCTTGGGCAAACTTGCCTCTCTCAGCCTCGGTGTGCCTGGGCCAGATAAACATGGGGCGGCCAGGACCATGTGAGCTGACTGGTGAATGTCCAGTGGCGGTACTCCCCACTGGTCACCCATCAGTAAGGGGTGTGTGCCCTTTCTCAAGTACCCTGGGACCCAGGACAACAGCATGACCAGGAGTGTGGGCCCAGGGTGGCTCTCATGACCCTGCTATCATCCCCAGCAGCAAAGCAGGAACCCCAATGCAGAAAGCCAGGGTATGGGCCCCTTCCCCAGGCACCTCCACCCTCTCCCCTACCCCTAAGACGGAGGGCTTTTGCCCCACCCATTCTGAGGGCCTTCCATGTCTTGACTCCCCTAATCCTTCCAACAATGCTCTGAGGTAGGAACACGTGTTAACTCATCTATTTTACCGAGGAGATAGATGAAGCACAGACTGACAGCAGGATGTGGTCAACAAGCCTGCTAAAACCCTGGCCACCATCCTGCCCTCGCCCACGTTACAGCCCAGGGTCAGGAGAGGATGTGAAAACAGGCACCTTCGAGCCAGGGCTTACAAAGCACCGCGCGCTTCATCTATTTAAAAAATAAAATGTGTGCCTGTCAGAAAAGGAGACAGGACGGTAAACATGCTGACTCCTGGCTTCTGCTATAGAGGCTGTGAGTGGCCAGTCACAGACCTGATTGTTCTAGTGCAGAGATCAATTTCAGCAAAGGAAAACGCGAGCGCCTCCTGCTGGGCAAGTCGCCGCGCCCGGGAACCGGGGAGGCTACCCGGCCCCGGCCCCGGCCCCCGGCTGTCCCACAGCCCGTCCCACCAGCCTGTCCCCTCCTCAGGGAACTTTGGGGCAGGCCGGGGCGCCAGGTACTCGCTTCTTCCTCCAAAGCCCCGCAGTCCCCGCAGCACCCCGCAACACACAGCGGCTTCCTCCCGCGGGCACAGCGCCAGGTCCTGCTCTATCGAATCCCCCCGTGTTGACACGTCCAGGGGCCGGGAAAACTTTCGCTCTCCGGACCCAGTGTCCCCGTCCTGGGCTTGCAGTAACGCGCGTCGGATCCCAAAGGTGTTCCGCGGAGTTGGGCGGTCTGTCAGGTTTTACAAAAGGGGAAACTGAGTCAGGAGAGCGCCAGCGCCGCACCAGGCACTCGGCCCCAGCGGGAAACCTACTGATTGTTGGAGGAGAAACCGAGAGTCAGGGACACCGCGGGGCAGCAACCTCCCCCGACACGACCGACCAGAGGCAGAGCCAGCAGGTTCCGGCCTGCGGTCGGCGCCAAGCTCTCCCCCTTTCCCTGCAGAAGGAAGGGGAACGACGCCCCAGCGCCAGGCTCGGGGAGCGCCTCGCTCTCCACCTGCTTCGGCCTCAAGCCCTGGCTCGTGGCTTCCTTTGCACAGCCCAGGGCCCAGGCAAGCGGGACCCGCACCGCCAGGGCAGCACCAAGGCCCCAGGGCCGAGGAGACGACCCGCCACTTCGGCCTACACACTCCAGGGCCTCGCGCCAGCACCGAGCCGTAGCCGCGCCGGGGCAGGGCCTTTGCGCTTCCGGCGCGCAGCGAAGCCGAGCAGATCCGAACGAGGCCGAGTCTGGCCGAGTGTTGCCGAATGCAGCCGAGCAGAGCCGAGCCTGGCCGAGTGGAGCCAAGTTCAGCCGAGCGCAGCTGCAGGTCGGACACCACGTGGCGACTGGGCGAGGCCTGAGGACCCGCGGCGCCCCCTGCCGGGCCTGCGGAGCACAGAGCCCCCCCCCCCCCCCCGCCCCCTCGCCCTCCGCCGCCTGTCCCAGCAGCCCTGCGACTGGCCGGTGAGATGGGCGTGGAGCCCATTTTCCGGATGAGGAAACTGAGTCTACGAGAGGTTTTTGAAGCTGGCTGAAAGGCACTCAGCGCTAAGAGGTTGTGGCGCTGGGGTTCAGACCCGACTGCGTGGCGGAGCGCTCACCTGCCACTGCCGCCCACGTTCCGTTCCCTCCCTGGTAGCTGCGGTCTGAAACGGCCCAGCAGGTAGAGCCCCTCCCTTCTGAAGAGCAGGTGCAGGGTCCTGGCTGGAGTTCAGGGGCTACCCCCGGTCTTACAGAGGGAGAGACCAGGCGCGCTCCGGGGGCTGTCGAGCGAGCAGTTCTCCGGAGCAAATATTGACACATCTGCTGGCCACTGAAGCGGACAGAAGGGTGGAGAGGCCGCATCTCGGCTCTTCTGCTGGGCTCCCTCCGATACACCCCACCCCCACCGCAGGCCTGCCTCAGTGTCCCCACCCGTAAGATGGTGACAGAGGCCGTGGGCTCCAGGAGAGTGTGAGCCAGAACCCGAGGTGTCTGGGACCCCGCGGGATGCTGAGTGTGGCCCGGGCACATTTTTTCAGCCTATGAGAAAGCGAAGGCTTGTCACCGTCCGCACACACGTGTGCACTGTCGCGCGCCTGTCATTCACCCCTCGGTGCGGGCATGCTGCTATGAGGCTTGCTGGAGGGCTGCTGGCTGCTGGGATTCTGGGGAGGAACCAAGGTCCCGGTGGCGCCTGGGCTGCCCTCTGCCTGGTGGGTCTTCCTGTAGGGTGTTGTCTCCCCGCCCCGCCCCGCAGCATCACTCCTGGCCGCTCAGCCCCCATTTTCATAGTTGTCTTTTTAAACTATGGTCCCTGGACTAGGGCCTAGGAAAACAATGTTTTGGGTCCGGCTCCCGGTGCTGTAGCCACATGACCACATGACCATC